TATATGGGTGGACATGTGTCTCATATTGGACAGTTGTATTTTAATGAAACTCTGACAGATCAAATTAGTCAACTAGCGCCCTACAACACGAGAAGAGGAGAAAGACTGAGATTAACAAATGATTTTATATATACAAGACTAAATGGATCAGCAGCTATGGTCAATGTTCAACTGAAAAATGAAGCGAATAATTTAAGTGGAGGTATTATTGGGCATGTAACACTTGGAGTTAATTCAAAACAAACAGTTCAACCAGAAATGAATTTTGGTATGCGACCACCGCGTCCTGGACAACGACCACCGCCACGACCAACTCGTCCTTAGTGTTTTTTGATGACCCAGTGTTTTTTTAACATATAAAACAACTTTTGCAGAACATTTGTAGACGCACTAGTGTATTTTTACGGTAGAGGGAAGGTCCATTTCATAGAATTCAGTTATTTTTCTAATTTATAATAAAACCTCCTAATGTTACTGTCGTCTCGACTTATTAGAGTATTAGAAATAATTCTCTACACATCGTAACTCAACTGCATTCGAATTAGATAGTTTGCATGATGTACTTTATTGTTTGCTGTTGAACGATGGTTCGGAGATAAGATCATTTACTTACTGCCTCTTATGGTGAGTTGTCGTGAGAGGTACTAAAAAGTTAAAGCAGAAAACGTGGAATTCGTTAGGACCATGAAGATCGCTTTTCTGCGGTTCGATAGCTTATTTGTCCTCCACACTCAAACGAACAGTCTCTACTATTTCCTTTAAAATAGCAAAAATTTGAACTTCCTTGACAAGGGCGAGTTCTGAAATTTTCACATCCTTCAAGTACTTTAATATTTTCTACCTCAAAAGCATTTTGTGAATCAGCTCGATGTGCTCTATCTGCCTACGTAATGTGCCGGTAATTCGAAACTAAAATAAAACATTTTTCGAGATATTTATACATGGTTGTATGAGCTCGTCCAGCTGATTCAGCAAATATATGCTGTAATGTTTAAAAAAGTTTTTTTCATGTCAAAAATTTGAAAATATTTAATGGACAGGACCACATAAAGTTAGAAATCGGCTTTCCCTCTTTTTCGGGTAATAATGGTTTCGTATCAGGCAAAAACGTACCAGTATTGAACGGCAGATGGAATCACGTACATTTATTCACTAAAATCACCTTAATTTCCCGATAATATCGTGCCAACTTGCATCCTCGAAACAACACCCACATGATAAAACGTATTTTTCTCAAATTTCTTACGGCTAACTCAACACTCGGCCAGATAGGTTTTGATATTCTCTACAAACTGAGGTAGTTAGAATACCTTGACTAGTTGCGCCGGTCACTAAAGACATACAGAAGAAGCGATTTTAGTGAACAAGTAGATCTGATTTCATCTGGAGTTGAATACTGGTAAGTTTTACCTTGATGCGAAACCATTATTGCTCGAAAAAGCGAGAAGGACTATTTCTAACCTTATGTGGTCCCGTCTTTTTCGTTCGTCTCAATTCCCTAGCGAAAGTTCTTGAAGCCAAGAAAGTAAGATCTTGAGACACTTCATAGCCAAGAAATGATTCTTGGACTTTCTTGTGCATTTCTTGGGC